CTTTGGCCCTCAGTATCTGCAGGTTCCGCTTCTGTGATTTAACCAACTGTGGATCAAAAATATTAAAAAAATTCCAGAAAGTTCCAAAAAACAGAACTTTCATTTCTTGCACTATGGCAACAATTTATGTAGTGTTTACATTGTATTAGGTATACAGGAGGATGTCTGTAGGTTATATGCAAATACTACATTTTATATAGGGACTTAAGCATCTGAAGATTTGGATATCTACATGCGGTGGGGTGGGGGTGTCCTAGAACCAGTCCTCCTGGAAGGATGACTGTACTGCTGAGTCCTGACTCCCCACTGCTTCTTTTCCTTTTTGTCTTTCTAATCCTTCCTTCTTACCTGATCAGAATACAGTGTCAAAACTCAAATATTTTTTTTCTTGGCTTCTCAATTTTCCTGTGAAACGTTTACAGAACACTGTATCTGTGAGTCATCTTGTAACTTTAAGGATTCCTTAAATTGTAGGGCAGCAATAAATTCCAGGGGTTACCCAGACACTGTGGATGGTTATTTGTGTAACTTCCTCTCTGCGACTGTTTCAATGTGATCAGTTATCTTCCACTCTTCTCAGTCACTGTTGCTGCCCTTGAATCCCAAGGCATCCTCTTATTCACACATTCTATACCCTCCGTCTTTTCCCATCATCTGTTTTACTACCTCTCCACTTTACCCCAGATTTCTCTCTCACAGCTCTCTCATCTTCCCAACGTGTCTCCTCCTGTCCATCCTCACTTCCGCTATCAGAATTCAATCCTCCACAGTCTCTTTCCTAAACTAGCAAAATATCCTTATTATTATTCTCTGTCTTAACCCAAGTACCATACAGCTGCTAAAATGATCTTTCTAAATGCATATATGAGGGTAAGGGGAAGAGCTTCATTTATTTAAAGCAATTCTATATTTTTTGGAAGTTTTAAAACATGAATGTAGTATTTTAGTCATGAAACAAGTACAGATATTACTCCACTGTTTAAAATCCTCTAACAGCTTTCCACTGATTGCAAGATAAAACTCAAACTTCTTAATATTGCATGATGTTTTAGCTTTGCCACTTCATCAGTTAGCTTCATGAAGTGACTTCTTGCCTTTCTCTTGTTCTCCCAGACAACTCTGTCAGGGTTATCAAAGATGCTCAGTTCTGAATAATAGTAACAAATATTAGCTACCTAAAGCATCTGCAGTGTGCCAAGTGCTTTGCATGTAATCTCATTTTTCAACCCTAAAAGGCACTACCATCAAATTTTTTTTTTAAAGAAACTGAGGATCAGAAGTTAGGTGACTTCCCTAATGTCACACAGTTACTGGCAGAGTCAGTATTTGAACACAGTTCTGCCTAACTCTAAAACTTAGGCTCTTTCCAGACTCAGAGACATAGAAAACAAAGTTATGGTTATCAGAGGGGTAAGGGGGAAGGGTGGGATAAATTGGGAGTTTGCAGTTGGCTGATACAAATTACTACGTACAGAATAGATAAATAAGATCCTACTGTATAGTACAAGGAATTATAGTCAATGACTTGTAGTAACCTGTAATGAAAAAGAATAAATATATATGTATGTATAACTAAATCACTATGCTGTACACTGGAAATTAATACAACATTGTAAATCTAAATAAATAAATAAATAAATAGGTCAGGTATAAAAAAACAAAAATAAAAAAATAAGTCATATAGTCTAACCAAAAAAACAAAAAAACAAGAAACAAAAACAACCAAAAAACAAAACAAAACAAAAAAACAGGCTCTTTCCATTATACCATGCTATCTCCAGAATGAAATGTTTCAGTCACTCTGGCCCCACCTTTTAGAGAAACATTACTTCTTATCTTTAAATACATTAGAAGGCAGGTTAGTAGAGTCATTCAGGCCATGAGCTCTGGAGTCAAACTGCCTGGGTTCAATTTCCAACCCTAAAACTTATTAGCTGTGTAACCTTGAGTAAGTTAATTTCTCCAAGTTTCATCTTCTCCATCTGTAAAATGAATATGATAAAAATAGTTCTCTTGCACAGAGTTTTAATTCTTAAAAAGATGATCCACTGTAAAATACTTAGTACAATGTGTGACAAATAGTATGTATATCCTCAATAAAGCATAGCTACTATTATGAGATACATCTCAAAATTCTGTTGGATCTTTCGTTCATCTGGAGTTCCTGATCAGTACATCTGAATCCTGGTTTGCCATATTCTAAATGTCCCTTCTATGCATTTCTGCATAGCAGAAAAGTACCATAATTATATTGTATAGGCTTTGCCTTCTTGAGAGTGATTTTTCCAAGATAGAGCTTTGGCTGCACAACACAAATTTTATTAGTTCATACACTAAATGGCTAATTGCTCAAATGCTGCTCACTTAAGGTGTTACAGAAGGTAATGACTTGATTGTCAAATTGCTTTAGCATTTCTTATATAAGTGCTAAAAATAGCAATTCAGTTATTTTATTGCAGGATTCATCGTTCTTGCCCTCTGTGTAGTGATCAGTTCCACTTGCTTGCCTTCAAAGTGGGACCTGGAGATGGCCAGAGTAACCTCCTGGTATATATTCTTATCTGCTCTTCTGTTGGTTCATTTTGTGTCAGGTATCAAGTTTGGACATTGCCTTGAAACTACTGTTTTAGAAAAGCCAATCACAAAACCAGCCCAGGGCTGGATACTCTTGTGATTTATTGTATAAGCATAAAATAACTATCTGAATGGGGCCTTGGATAGTTTCAGTACCTATGCAGTCATTCCCATGTAGTATTTCTTTTTCCCTACTGCTGTCACGGCCTACTATGCCATTCTTTTCAAGGAATGGCAGCATATGGCCCTCACTAACTTAAGTTACCACCTGTGGTTTCCTTTCCATAGTTGGCCTTTTTAGCTCCATACATTTTGAGATGTCCCTTTTGGTCTGTACCTGTTGCCCTTTGACTTGAGATCAATAAATCTACACAATACCCTTACTCCTCCATGGAATGAAAATGAGGGTTACCTGACTTTTCTCCATCAACCTCTTTTGAGTCCAGAAGATGCCAACAAAAGTGAGGCTGAAAGAGACTATGAAGAGTCTTAAAAGAAGCACTATTGGGAAGATTTTGGGTTAAAATCTCCCACAGGCCAAAATTTTGGACTAAGGTATTAATACAGGGAAAATTGGTTTAAAAAGGACCATCAATTGCTTTCCATGTAAAGGCTATTTTACATTCGGTTTATTGATTTGTTATGTTTGATTCAAACTTCTCCTGGAGATTTGTTAGCATAAATGTCAAATTCCTGCTTGATTTCCTTGTATCTGTTATCCCGGATGTTCATTCGTGGACTCATGGGCAGGGGGCCTTAGGGTTAGTCTAGTTCCAGTTTTCACAGTATGCCTGAATAAACCCTAGAGGTCCTGAGACAGTGCCTTAGGGACCAGGGAGGGTGCAGGGGGAGGGGGAGGAGACTATAGCAAGCAGGCCTGGTCCAGATACCCTCCGCCACCAGAGCAGCTTTGCTTTTCTATTTTATGTCTTAGGCTTCTTTTCACTTCAGAAGTCTGCTAACCCAATCCTTTTGTTTTACAGTTGTCTTGAATTTTCTACCCTGAATATTGAAACAAGGACTTTGAATGTCATGAGGGCTGATAGTACCCTTTCTATCAAGGTTCTGGAAATAAATTTCTGAGATGGATAAAAAAACAAACAAGAACTCAAATTGTTGCTCTGGTACTTAACCTCTTAGAGGATGTGGGCAAATGGTCTACCTTTTCTTTCCCCTTATCGTGTGTCTAGTAGTGTCAAACACATACTGGGTGTTCGGGCATATTGCATGAATCTGACAGACCCTCTTTCTCACTATGTACAGTAGCTGAGCAAGCATAATGCTTTATAAAACAAAGACAATATAAATTTGTGTTTAAATATAATGAGAATACTTTAACAGGTAATGAAAAATATGGGATAATGATATAGTAAAAATATATAAAATAATATATAATAAAAAGAGTGAAGAATAGAAGGAAAAGACTAAAGGATCCTTCCTTTATGACTTGAGGTTTTACATGAACACACTCAATTTTAAAGGGAAAAAAATCAACAGGGGCATATAGATCCAAGGCATATGCCAGATGCCCATGCTAAAAGCCTGGTTTCTCCTGGACTTCAAAATGCCAGTATTCTTACTACCCTGCTGCTGCTGCTACTACTAGTACGACTTCTTTACTATGTACACGTTATCCAAACAGCAGCCAGGTACTCCTAAATTCATCGTATCACATCACTTGTCTGCTAAAACCCCTCAAGTGGCTCCACATCTTGCTTGATAAAAGCCAAGTCCTCACAATGGCTTAAAATGCCCTACACAACCAGTACATGTTCCCACCCATCCCTAATCCTGTTCTGTTTTTTTTTGGGGGGGTGGTAATTAGGTTTACTTATTTATTTTTTGGAGGAGGTCCTTGGGAACTTGTGCATGCTAAACAAGCGCTCTACCACTTGAACTATACCCTCCCTGCCCCTGTTCTGTCTCTGACTCTATTTCTTACCATTCTCCCTATTCATTTTACTCCAGCCACACTGACTTTTGACCCTTCTTCTACATTGGCATCATAGCATGTGGTTCCCACCTTGGGGCCTTTGGACTTACCCTTGTCACCCCTCCCTGAAATGTTCTCCTCTCAGATACCCATGTGGCTTGATCACTTAGTTCTTTCATGCCTCTGCTGAAATGCCATCTTCCCAAGGAGGCCTTCTCCAACCATCTTTATCTAAAATAACAGTGCCCCGGAAACATTCCCTGACACCCTCACTCTGTTCTCCACAGCACTCATTATACTGACACACTGGTGTGCTGCCTCCTTCCCCTCACTAAAACATAAGCTCCACATGGGACTGTTCCTATGCCCTGCTGAAATCCTGGCACCAAAAACAGTGTCTGGCTGAGGAAGTACTTAAATGTTTGTTGAACTGTTTTCAAGAGTTTACAGAATTCCCTTGTAGTGGCTATCTGGTGGGAAGTTCAACAGGGACTTGAGGCTTCTAAAATGTTTATTTCCCAACTTTCATGAATGTGCACTAGAGGCTCCTAACAAGTAGTTCCTTTCACTTTAGGTCTACAATCCAGTCTAGTAGGATCTGATGAGGAGGGGGATCCAGTCACTATAATCTCTTCTGCTACATTCAGGGAATTGACTGTCAGCACTGAATTCCTTTCCTCCCCCATCTCATCTCAAGGTTCTTTTCTCACAAAAAGGACCCCTGGGATCTGGGATCCTTGGAATACAGGCCATAACTTGCACAGAACAGGCACCCAGGCTGACTACATTTCAGCCTTGGAGCTAGCCCACACCAAATCTCTCCTGGGTGCAGGTGATAACCAAAACAGAAAGCCTTCTCAATCACAGATTTCAATCTTGTAGAAGCATTTATTTCAGTGATTAAAAGAATGCAGTAAATGGAATCTATACTGATGTACATTAGGCATGCACCTCTACCTGAAATTGCTGTTAGTTTTTGACAGGCCTAAATCTTTATAACTTATTTATTCATTTAGGCACATCTTTGAATTATTTTGGATGGACCCTGATATACAGGGTAAGTTAACTTCTTCCTTGTGGCAGTTTAGTATGAGAATTACGTTCACTGGCTAGATTCCTTTAACTAAAGGCCTCTAGGCTCTCAGGCTACCTGTACTACCTCAAGAGCATACTTGATACAGATATTCAAGTAAATCACAGTATAAGGGAGGGAGATAATCTAGAAAGCTGAAATGAATATTTTATACATCTTTTTCCAGCACTGATAGTCAAACACTAGATAAGGAGGCCTACAGTTATGTACCAAATTACTCTTCCCCCACTACTGCCCTTTCTGAGACCCAAAGATGTATATCAATCTCCCCAGAAATCTGAAAGGAACCCACGCAAATCATAGATTTTTACCTATGTGGTCCCGCTATCAATCTATAGAGCAGTTCCACTATTAAAATTATAGGAAGCAATTAGTGGGACTTTGAGAAAAGCATCATCCCACATACAGTGATTATGCATTTAGTAGAGTTTTCTATTCATCTGTCAATTGTTTTCACATGATTAGCATTAAAAAACACAACTCAAAACACATTTGACCCTCAAATCCCACACACACAAAAATTGGTCTTTGTTCATTCTCAGATGACAGGATGTTCCAAGAGTGACAAAGGTGGGAGCCAATCTCCCCAAAGACTTTTCTTCAACCATCCCATCAACGGCTCTTCATTTCTTGAACTACCTTCCTTTTCCAAAAAGGTAATGCTGAGATCAGTCAGAAAGGCTTTCTGAGAAGACTGGCTTGGATTTCTGGGTCTGTTCCAGTCGATTCAAGATGAACTGGCTTGTATCAATGAAGCGCTCAACGCAGTTCACAAAACAGGCCTCAGCCCGACTGTCCAACTTTGGCCCAGGCTTGTCCATGCACTTTTCCTGCTCAGGACAAGATACAGAATCACAAAGGGAACTTGGCAAAAAAAAAAAGGGGGGGGGACTTCTTGTTGCTCAGAGGAAAAACTTCACTTAAAAACAGTATCTGATATGTTAATAGTTCACATTTGAGTTCACCTTTGGCAGCTTACTCTGAGGCAATTTTCTATAAGCCTTACATTAAATTCTCACAACAACCCTACAGAATAGATATTATTAATCTTCGTTTTACAAAGAGGGAAGCTGTGACACAGAGATAACTTTGTCCTAAGTCACAGGGCCAGAAAAATGGTGGAGCTGAGATATTCAAAGCAAGATAAACGGCAAAATACAAGTGAGATTATAAAAATGAAAAAAAAGTGTAAAAGAAGAAAAAAAGAAATAAAAAGAAATACAAGTGAAGTTAACCCTTTGCTGAATTTGGTTAGAACTCTACAATGCTGCTTGCATTAAATGCCTTTAAATTAGCTGCAGAATAAAAGGTTGAAAGGATAAATCACTGCAGCAAGACACCTTAAAACTTACCAAAGGAAAAAAAAAATCTATGACCCAAGATTCTGTAACCTTGTCTACTTAAGCCAGAGGCGCTTGAATCCTCTCAAAATGAATGGAAAATTATATGAATATACCTAAAGGGCCCACAGCTTTCAGATTCTTAAAGCAGTCCTTAACCACATCCCATCCTGGCCCAAATGTAATGAATCAGATTTAAAAAAAAATTGGGGGGAGAGTAATTAGGTTTATTTTTTTTAATGAAGTGCTGCGGTATTGAACCCAAGACCTCGTGCATCCTAGGCATGCGCTCTACCACTGAGCTATACCCTCCCTCTGTAATGAATCAGATTTTTAAAAAGAATCAAAGGACTCTGGTTCAGGGCAGACAGGAGTTAAGTAAGCATTTGTTAAGGGTCAGAGTCCGACAATACTTATGGTTCGAATGAATTTTGTTCATTATTCTCTATCGTGCACAGAAGCCTTAGACTCTCCACTTCCAAGGAATATTATCCTTGCTTCTGAATTCTGTGAATTTTGTATGTCAAGGCAGGGCAGTTATGCTGTCCTTGGCAGCCAGAGAACACTTTGATTCCAAGCTGCAAATAAATGCCTTCTACCCTTTTGCCAAAGTCCCTTCACAGGGCATACTCAATTCTTCAACCTTCAGACCTGAAACAGTTTGGTATTACACAACAATCCAACAAGAAGGCAAAAGTGTGTATGTTGGTAGAAATTACACCACTTTATAGTTAGAGGATTAGAGCCACTCACTTCTCACGAGAGACGGTTAGAGCAACAGGATGATCAAGGTAAACCCTGAGGGGTACAGGGTCAGCAAATTCACTGACTCCCTTGGGATTCAGGGTGCCAAAAATAAAATCTCAGTAGTGGGTCTCTTAGTTTTGGTGTACAGCACTAGGCAGCTTCAACCTTAGGTGCCTAAGGTGCCTAAGTCTTCTGTGACCCTGGGTCCTCTGGACTAACAAAGCCGAAGTCCGGCGTGACAGACCGCTGAGAAGCGGAGTCACCCTTTCTCCCTTCCGGCTGGGTCTGAGGAGCCTAAGGAAACCAAGCAGTGCTGCTAGGTCTCACCCCTTCCCCGAATCCCAGACGTCTTGGCTAGTAGCGCGGGGCAAGGACGGGGGAAAGTAGGTACAGTGGCCAGGTCCCAGCCCCAGGCTCCTCACCCAACAAAGTTCCGTCATCTGGTGCACCAGCTGCTGGAAGCGCTGCTTCTGAGTCTCCACTTCTATGAAATGCTGCAGCTGCGGGTCGACCGAGCCCAAACCCGTCGCGGAGGAAGAGGAGGAGGAATCCATCCCAGCGCGACCACGCGTGCCGAGACGAACTCCGGACCAACTCA